CATTAGACTCACTAGAGCCCAGCCCAGGTCAGAAAGCCGAAGCCCCGCCGCCCCGAGCCCTGCCACCTGGGACTGAAGCCGAAGACTGAACAACTTAGTTTCGCGGGACCCCTCTAGCGTGGGGCCTGAGGCAATTGCCCTGCTTTCTGCCCCCAGTGCTGGCCCTGGCTTTTATACGGGGTGCTGGAACAATTTGTACAGTGGGGGTGCTGAGAGCCATTGAACCAAACTGTAAACCCTGTACATGATGGAAAAAACTTCAAGCCAGGGGGTGCAGCTGCACCCCCAGTTCCAGCAACTATGCTTTTATATGCAGAAAAACAGTTGTGGCACAGGTGGGCCATGGAGTTTTTATAGCATGTTTGGGGGGGCTTCAGAAAGAAAAAGGCTGAGAACCCCTGATCTAGTATCTCATCAATCCTAGGCATAGGGTACATATCAAATTCAGATACTCTGTTTTCTTTGCGGTAGTCAATACAAAACTGAATACTGTAGTCTGGTTTTGGGAGCAGCATGATTTGACCAGACCGTTCACTGTGGGATAACTCAATTACCCCCAGTTGGTGCATGCTCTATAGTTCTTTTTTTTACAGTGTCCCTTAGCCACTGTTATCCAGAAGTGGCCCTTCTGGGTTTAAGATGAATGTGGTGGGTGCAGGGTGTTCCCCCAAGATACAGGGCGTCACACCTGCGCCCTTAGTTTACTGCAAGAGGGTTAGTCACTGAGTATTTCAAAGGCAGTTTGTGTTATAGTTCTCTTGGCATCCAGCCATTAAGGCCATGAGGCAGCGTGCCTCAGTTTCCCCCTCACCCAGCAAACTAGGTTTGTTATGGTTTCTCCGCTGTAGTAAGCTTTAAGTCTCTTTACAGGTATTAATTGAAAAGTAGCATTATCATAAGGTTTAACGTCCGTGTCAAAATTCTTATCCCCAAAACTTAACATTAATACCAAAAATTTTATCACAGATGTGTGTTTACAAGTATCTTTATGATACCACGTCCTCTGTTCAAATAGTGTAGTTTGAAGTTAGTTTGTTCATTACCCATGGTGTCCTTTGACACTCCCCCATGTAATCAGTCACTGGCTTTTCTTTCCCTCCAGTGTTCCCCTCTGTGTGGGCTCTTAATTTAATCATGTTTCTGGAATTTTGGTATCTCAGGGTCTGGCAAGATAAGGGTCCAGGGGGATCCTACACATCAGCTGGCCCTTTGGGGAGCGGTCTCCCAACCCCAGGACTGTACATATGCAGAAAATCCAGCTCCCCTTTTGGGGTTACCTGGTGTTTCCCCCTCCCAGCACTGAGTCCTTCCCTGCCCCCTAGAGGGCTGTGACCTGTGCTCTCTGGGCTAGGTGTGTTTACCCTTTAATCAGATGCACATTTTCCCAGCTGCTTTTCCATAACTGCTTCCTGTCTCTCACCAGCCTGGGGGAAAACACCCCTTCTCTGTCAGTTGGGTCATTTGTGTTCTCACAAACTACCACCTGGCAATTTCCTGGTCTCAACTCTTCTGCTGTCCCAGGCGTTGGAGTTGTATCTTGATGTAAAGAGAGACCGTTACTTTCCAAAAACTTATCAGAAATAACATCCTGAAAAACTGGGACCTGGATTGGGGTACCGTCAGGGCTGTCCCTAGCCATTTGGGTGCCCTACGCAGCCCCCCAGGCCTCCCTCCCCACAGGGTCTGGGAGGCAGGAGCTGTGGGGGGGCACTTTTGCGGGCCCAGAGTGGCCCGGGGGATTAGCGGGGGGGCCGGGAGCAGCCCACTCTGCTTCCCTCGCCCAAGCCCCAGCCATGTCGCTCAGGGAAGGGGGCTTGGGAGAAGGGATCCCCCCCTGCACTCACTGGCAGCGGTGGGAAGCGGAGAGACACGGCCCCAGCCAGCTGTACTCTGCCAGCTCCCAGCCGCTGGTGAGTGCGGGGGCCGGGGAGGTTGGGGAAAGGACACCCCCCCCGCGGCGGGAAGCGGAGAGACACGGCCCCAGCCAGCTCTACTCCGCCAGCTCCCAGCCACGGGGCTCCGCTTCCCGCCACTGGTGAGTCGGGGGGGCGGGGGGAGAACCTTTCCCTAACCTCCCCCCCCACCCCCCCAGCGACACATCCAGTCTTTACATCTTTATCCCATAGACACTGCTTTACATCAGCCTTACATACGCTTAGGAAATGCTCTTGAGCAACAAGATCAAGCATTACTTCAAAACTTGCCACCTCTTTACTCCTCACCCATTTTCCCAACAAATCTTTCATTTTGTTTACATATTCCCCATTACTCACGCCAATATCCCTCTTAAGATTCCTAAATTTAACCCTATATGTTTCAGGGGTAATCTGAAACTTCGCAAAACAGGAACTCTCTTATCAGGGATTTCATGTATTACACACAGCCGTTCAAAGGTAGTCAGATATTCAGCAATATCGTCCTCCTCGCTGTATGCAGGACATAAGTGTTCCCATTTGTGGGTTTTGGAGTGATGGGAGTCGTTGGGTCGAGGGCCTCTGGTTCTGCTTCTCTAGCAAGTCCTGCTGGTGTTTTCTCTCTCTCTCTCTTTTTCTTTCTTCCATAGCCCTTCTGTGTGCAGCCTCCTCTTCTTTGGGCCTCATTTCTGCCTGCCCCATTTGAAACTTGCGGTCCTTTGCCTTCTCTGCCGCTTCCAATCTGGCCAGCTCTAATTTTGTAGCTGCTTCACTGGTAGTCATTTTTCTGCTTTCTTGTGCTTATTTCCCTCACCCAAAATAAACAAACAGAAAATAACAAAACTGTGACCTCCTCCTAACTGTCCTTAGCCACTGCACTTAAGACTCACTTAAAATCACAAATATCAGTGCTTAAAGTGTGAACTCCACTTGGGGTAACAAGCTGTACATACACCCTGCTCGCTGCGCCACTGTGATGTTCCCCTGGTGTTATCTGGACTAGTGATCTGCTAGGTCACTCCAATCCCTGACTCTGGGGGCCAGCCTTACCCTGCTCCGCTGTGAGAACCCCCACTCCTGGGCGGTTCACGCACAGCCCCTGGCATGTAAGCTGCTTGGATTATGCAACGGAATGACACTAACCAATATCTCCGGTCCCAGACACAACCCTAGGAACCTCCGTCTTGCAGTGTCCAGTTATGCCTGCTGGACGCTGCAAGGTTATATGAGTTTGTCAATTTAACAAAGAAATTGATATGTACCAGGCTTGTTATCCCAAGGGGAGTCTCTGACACACTTCAAACCAAACGCACTGCTTCAGGTAGAATAAACAAACAAATTTATTAACTACAAAAGATAGATTTTAAGTGATTATAAGTCAAAGCACAACAAGGCAGATTTGATCAAATGAAATAAAAGCAAAACGCATTCTAAGCTGATCTTAACACTTTCAGTGCCCTTACAAACTTTGATGCTTCTCACCACAGGCTGGCTGGTTGCCCGCCCTTCAGCCAGGCTCTCCCCTTTGATCAGCGCTTCAGTCGCTTGGTGGTGGTGTCTGTAGATGTAGGTGGAAGAGAGAGGAAGAACATGGCAAACGTCTCTCCCTTTTATCATGTTCTTTCTTCCCTTTTGGCTTTGCCCCTCCCCCCCTCAGGGTCAGGTGAGCATTACCTCATCGCAGTCCCAAACTGGCCAAGGGAAGGGGGGGTGACTCACTCGAGAGTCCAACAGATCCTTTGTTGCTGCCTAGGCCAGTGTCCTTTGTTCCTGTGAGGCTGGGCTGGGTTTGTCCCATACATGCCCTGATGAGGTATGAACTGGAGAGTTTTGCCTGGGCTTGTTTTAAGCCATGAGGACACATTTTCATCCTCATAACTATATACATGAAATTACAACCTATAACATTACTATAACAACAATGCTCAGTGCATCATGAGCCTTCGAAGACACCCGACATGACAAACTTTGCATTGGATACCACACAATCATATTATAAGGATGAACATGGGGGTGCAGGGTGTTTCCCCCAAGGTACAGGGTGTCACAGCTACCTACGCCAACAGGAGGGCTTCTTCCATCAAAATAGCCCTGTCTACACTGGAGGTTAGGTCAGTATAACTATGTGGCTCAGGGGTTTTTCCACACCCCTGAGCGATTTAGTTATACCAGCATAACTTGCTAGTGTAAACCAAGCCTGTGACTGGGAGTTTTAGAATCATGTCTCTCTGGCTCCCTCAGTGCCTTAGGTTGACAGAAACTCTATTTTCCTGCAGGGGACACTGCTGCTTAATTCTGGACAGAATCAGAACTGATAGGTAAGCTCTACAGTCAGGGAACATTACAGAAATGGGGAAATCTGGAGAGGCATGAAAATGCTGTCTACAAAACAGGGAAACATTCCCTCTGTATTTCATGAGGCTTCAGTTCATTTGTTCAAGTGTTTGCATCAAACTGAAATTAACTTTATTTTCTAAAAGTGTAACAATAAATGGCTTCAAAATATGTTCATTGTGTGAATGGATGCATATGACGTTGTTAGCAAAGTCCTTCAGTTACCAAACGAAAAAGCGACTTCACTGTTGCAATTATCAGGAAAAGATTCCAAGTCCAGAACTGTTTGAAATATGTCTTATGAATCATAAGATATTTGAATGTATTTATTCCAATAGATTCTGTACAAGATTCATACTGTTAGTTTGTACTTTGTTCTGTTTAAATGTGAAGTTCATCTAAGGCTAATGTAAAGGTCGTATTGCCACTTTAAAAGGCATCCTCTGGAGTTTTGATCGTACAGAGTTGTTTCAATGAAGCAGAGTATGACTCATGCTAATGGAAAGGGTAAAGAAGATTTTTTTTAAAGAAATATATCGCAGTTAAATTAGTTTAGACAGCATGACATCAGAGAGTAATTAAATAGGTTTTTGTTGGAATTCCGTTTCCAATTCCTGAGTTCAGGTTTGTAAAAAATTTCTAAGCACCTGCAGGTCTCTGTGTGTGAAATATTTTCACTGGAAAGGATTCAAAACTTAAAAAAAAAAAAAAAGAAAGAAAGAAAAAGAAACTTGTAACACAGAGGCAGCATTACGCCATTCTTCCTTCTTGGAAAAAAAACCCTTCAGATTTAAACAAGACTCCTTCAAGCTTTCAGTCAGTTTTACAGAAGAAAAAGGGGTGGTAAACCTTCTCTTTTCAAGAACAAGTTCTTTTTAGCTGCTAACTGAGGCCAGGAGAAGATTAGATCTGAATAAATGAGCATTTCCACTATGGGACTGGATACAAATGTTAAACAAACAGATTTAAAGTGTTTTAAGCTTAAAAGAAAACTATTCCTGCTGACTTCAGTTTTTAATTTCTTTCATGTTTTCTTATGCCAAACTGGAGGAACCTTTTCTGATTTTTTCTTTAGTGGCATTCAAAGGAAGACCAGAGGATGAAAATCTTGCACTTTCTCACTTTATTGCTTTGGCACTTGACTTGGTTTTACCTGGTTCTAGTTTCTGTAGTGTTGAGTAATTCCGAAGCAGGTCAGAGTAATCCAGGATCCAAGTTAGGATTGTTAAAAGCAGAAGGAAAAGAGACAAATCCCTCGCCAAGGGCAGGTACCTTTAGGACTGGAAACCATGGATATAGTGCTGGGACCTTAAAGACGAGAGCTAAAAGCAATACTGTTCAAGCAGCAGCTCTCTTGGCAAAGAATAATGAACCAAAGAAGAGTCTCTCTAGAGAAGGAACCACAGACACAAAGGTAGGGCAGTCCCCAAACAGACAATCTGGAGTAAGGACAGTGACCCCAAAGGTTCAGAACCTTGGCAGCAAAGCCTCGCTCAGAAAAACTGGCACAGGCAATACTGATGCCAGTTCTTACAAAACCAAAAAGACTAAAGAGCCTGTAACACAAAGGGAACCTAAAGAGACTTTCAAACACCCCCCTATAACGCCACATGAATACATGCTCTCCCTCTACAGGACTCTCTCGGATGCAGAAAGAAAAGGCATTAATGGAAGTGTAAAACTGGAGACTGGACTTGCCAATACAATAACAAGCTTTATAGATAAAGGACAAGGTAAGAAAGGAGCTACAGCATTTGTGAGTGTGAGTGTGTGTGCGTGACATTGGTATGTGTGTGATGCATGTCTGCATGTATTGTTAATTGAAAAATAATGCTCATTAAAAATAGCTTGACTGATTCGAATGTAATCAGAATCATGTAACTTATAGGCAGTTTTTGTCTTTTCAGTTTAAGCTTAGAAGATTCTTCTGGCAGCAGGACATAGTATTTGTACGCTAGTTAAGCAAAACATTTAGGGACATATTTTCAAAGGCTTTTTGATGCCTGAAGATGCAGATCGGTGCCTAATGGGATTTTCAAAAGCACTGGGGCACCTAACTCCTATTGAAATGAATGGCTGTTAGATGCCTAGGTGATTCTGAAAACCCACTGACTGCCTATCTGCATGTTTAGGTGCCTAAACACCTTTGAAAATATGACTCGGAAGCTTTTTTCATACTTAAACTACAGTAGTTGGTAAAATACCATTTTATTTCTTGTTAGTCATATGTCTACAGGCATATGGCGCTGTAAAGACAGTGCTATTTCTGTGCTTTTCCAGGAGCAAAACAAAGAGCTTCTTTGTGAAAATGCTGGCCTCGTCAAGGGGAGACCTGAAACTCTGTGGCATGAGTTTCTGATTGTGGAAAATTTTGAGAAAATTGAGCTAGCCTAGTGCACCCCTTCCTCCAATAAATGAACATGCTTCATTTCCTGTTCATCGCGTAGCTTCTTATTGGTGAGATGGACAGTGTCACAGATCAGGTGTTCACCTGACTGCTCAAGTAGGGCAATTGGAGCCTAATGCTGCTCTCCGTGATGTTAGGATGCATTTTTTCAGGGATTTCAGTGAGCATTGATGGTGCCCATGGAGAGCAGCTCCAGGGAATGCTATGGATGAGGGAGCAATGATGAGGCTGTCACCTGACAATCCAGTCTAAAATGGGGACACAGAAGGCATTTAATGATCACAATTTGGCTGCTGTAGAGAAATGGAATGCTGTTCAGCAGAGCTGCATTCCAGATGAAATACTTGATTCTCCTTTGGAAGGCAATGTCAATGTAACATGCTGAATTTAAATAGCCATGTTTCTTAATAATGCTTCTTATGAACCTTACCAGGCAGTGGTTCTGGGGGTTATATTTTTTGCTCCGTCAGAATAAGTTGTGAGCCTTGTGTAGTTAATAAAGCAGTTGTCCTGGTGCCTGGCAGTTCCTGGAGGATTTGGGTTTTAAAGGACAAATTAACCATTGTACTGTCTATTGGTGAAACTCACCTCTGTACAGGGGGCCAGCATGAGGTCCAGGGACCACTTAAGCCCCACTTCAGTCCTATTTCAAGAATGTAAGTGGTGGCTATGTACTGTGAAGGCTCACACTTGAAGGAGGAATCTCTGCCAGTTGGCTAATTGATACTTTGGGGCCAGAAAACACACACAGGTGAGATGACATTTCTTTGGCTGAAACAAGAAGAGTTCAGAATGCCATTTCACTACTGAGTCATTAAGCTCCTCCGAGTCTCAGCTCAGAGCAGATTTTTATGACTGCGTCCGTATTGATTAAAAGGCTCTTTATTATGACTTCCAAGACTGTGGGCTAATAGCGAGTGACCTTGTGAGTTTCTGAGCAAACTTCAGAAGTAACAGGAGGAATTTTAGAGCTAATACTCATTCTTGTTTACAATAAACTTAAAAGTGTGTGTGGTTTTTGTTTTGTTTTAGATGACCGAGCTCCAGCCATAAGAAAACAAAAATATGTTTTTGACATCAGTGCATTAGAAAAAGATGGTTTGTTGGGGGCAGAGCTGCGGATATTAAGGAAAAAGCCCTCTGAGACCTGGAAGCCTCATTCTCCTGGGAAAACTTCCCAAGTGAAATTGTTCAGTTGCCCCACAAACAGACAAGCAGCAACTCTCCTGGACTCTCGCACTGTCAGCATTGCAGATACACCAAAATGGGAAGTATTTGACATTTGGAAACTTTTTAGGAATTTTAAAAACTCCGTTAACTTGTGTTTCGAACTCGAAGCTTTTGATAGGGGGAGAGCTATTGATCTAAGGAGTATGGGATTGAATAGAACAGGGAGGCAGGTCAATGAAAAGGCTCTCTTCTTGGTATTTGGGAGGACAAAAAAAAGGGACCTGTTTTTCAATGAAATCAAGGCGAGATCAGGTCAAGATGACAAAACTGTTTATGAATACTTATTCAATCAGCGGAGGAAGAGAAGGGCTCCTCTAGCAACGAGGCAGGGGAAGAGGCCCAACAAGAACCTGAAGGCAAGGTGTAGTAAAAAAGCTCTCCATGTGAATTTTAAGGATATGGGCTGGGATGACTGGATAATAGCCCCTCTGGAATATGAAGCTTATCACTGTGAAGGGCTTTGTGAATTTCCTCTTCGATCTCACTTAGAACCCACCAATCACGCAGTTATCCAAACGTTAATGAACTCAATGGACCCAGAATCTACTCCTCCAACTTGCTGTGTTCCAACCAGACTGAGTCCTATTAGCATTCTCTTTATAGACTCTGCAAATAACGTGGTCTACAAACAATATGAAGACATGGTAGTGGAGTCATGTGGTTGTAGGTAGCAGCACAATCCCTCACATTAATACATTAACAAAGATACTTACAAAAATTGACAAGAACCTCTTCTCAAACAAGAGTAACTAATCCTTTTAGCCCTAGCACAAGTATGTTTACAACAATGGTAATAAGAAACAATCTGCTAAAATCTCACTGTGTCCAGAGGCGTAGCGAGCGCCCTCCGTACCCTCCGACCGGAGGGGGCCCCGCAAGGAAGGGGGCCCCTAAAAGTGGCAAAATAAATACCGCATTCCAGTTTCTGCATTGTAAGGGGCCCCGCCCAGACATATGTTCGGAGGGGGCCACCGTTCGGAGGGGGCCACGTTCTTTGTTGCTACGGCCCTGACTGTGTCTGTATGTCTCTTAGTGGTAGACACATTTTAGCAGTAGTTCAATACTGTCACACTCCAAAGTTAGCCCAGAATGGGGCTTTGAGTAAAGAATTCCGTAATCATAAGAGAATTGTTCTCACTAAAGATCACTTCCAAGGAAATTAAAATTCCATACCACAAAAAGCTCTGCTGTTTTAATCCCTAAGGATATTGTTAAATGTAAAGTCAATAAGCAGCATATACACCTCTTAAAAAACATTACTGTTCCTTTAAATGTTGTTCTTAAGACAAGTCTGAGTCCCACTTCCAATATCTTCCTCACCATGTCCATTAGGAAATGTGTGAAGAGAATACTAATGTCTGTAAGAGAAAGTAATGTCCCTAAACACTCAGAGTTTGGTGTAAATAGTTACACTGTAAGATGAACTTTTCCAATTAGCTCTTAAAATGATGTGTATATGAAAAAAAATAATTAAATATAATATGTTGATTTAGTATTCGATTGTACATGGAGCTAGATAAATGCGGAAGCATATTTGTTTCAATGTATGTTTTGTTCCAAGCTTCATCTCTTTCTTAACTATTCACCCTATCCACTGGTATGTTGCAAGTTGTATTACTCTGTATAAGGTTCAAGCTGTTTTCAAGTGCTCGTAGTAAAATTACTCAGTAACAGCATAAAATGTAATAAATTATTGACACAGTGCTGTGGTGTAGCTAGCTCTCTTAATCTGCACAATTATAATTTTACTAACATCATTTGCTTTGAATCCTGTACAATAAATACAATGGAAAGGGAGCTGTCAGTAAGGCAGGGTGCTAACGGTGTCGATCCCATGTTTGTGTGCGTACCTTTGATTGCCTCCAGTTGCACTTGTTCACTGTGGAAGTATCAGAAGAACTATTTGCTGAGAGAATGCAGGATGGTAGGGTGTGGGGTAAAGGGTTTATTAGGCTGAGTGTGGGATGAGAGTGGTGATTGCAAATGAGTGCCCCTAACCTTTACTGCACTGTATTGTGTGCATGCTGCATCTATTTTAGAAATATTTTAAGGTATGAATTTGTCTTGGGACTATTTTTTGTATCCCTCCACTGTGGGTCAACGGCATGAGGAGCCCCACTCTGTCCACCTCGCCCCATGTGCTGCAGTGGGGTGGGGCAGTTGGCACAGAAGCTGACTTCTGCTGGCTTTATGCCAGAGGGGTGCCACCCCTCTGGTGAAACACAGTGAGACGCCAGCTCTGTTGTGCTGCCTGTGCAACTCAAAGGTGCCTGATCATAATGGAGAATCTGGCAATTATATTTTTAGATCTAGAAAAATGATTGTAGGTAACTTCCCAATGTATGATCCCTTTCCAATGGTATAAAGCTTCTACCTGCAGGACTGAATATGACCCATCCTGGGCCTTGTGCCAGGGTGATTTTTTTTTTTTTTTTTTTACAGGGCTGGGGGAGATGAGAATTCTGTGTTTGGGGACTAAAGGGGGAAGCATCACTCGACAGCAGGTTGATATACATTTTAAAGTGACGGCTGCCTGAAGCTGCTCAGGGCTTTGTAATACCGTATTAGAATAAGTCCTGGGGAGATGGATCAATGAGCAGGTGAGGTAGTTAAACATGCATGGCTCTGCAGTTTATCCCATAGTTCTGAAATCTGCCTCATGGTTATCACCCACACACAAGTGCTATATATTCAAGTAGCTATTAGAAAAGGAAAAATGCCATTGTTCTGTGTATGCTGTGTAAACAGGCTCGCTGAACTTACATAAGGATTTTTTGTACTGATCCATACACTGGTTTGTCTAAAACAAAAAAGCATTCCCCCATCCCTTGGACTGAAACCAACACAACCTTTCCTGAAGGTAGAAAAATTTGGTGAAGTTTCTTATTCTGTTTGATGGAGGTTGTTGACAGCTCTTGAAGCCTGGGGCGTGGCAGGAAGCAGAAGGAACTCAGTACCATAGCAAAAACCACCCTGAGATTTGCAACCCAATTATGTAGCTCAAAGAACCACAGAGTCATGTACTTCAGACATGAGCAAAACCAGCTTGTCTTTCCAGCCATTTGTAGGGAAAATATGGCCTAATTTCCCCCCTTCTTAATTTCATCTCACACATTCTAATGCAGATAATTTGGATAAGCAACTGCTGGGAACTTCTTCAGACCAAACCTCTGAGCTTTACTCATCACTACGGGCTTGTCTACACTACCACGCGGGGTCGATCTAATATGCAACTTCAGCTACCGAAGTCGACGTACTTAAATCTACTTACCGCGGTGTCTTCACTGCGGTAAGTTGACAGCTGGCATTCTCTTTGACTCTGCTTGCGCTTCTCGTTCTGGTGAAGTACCGGAGTCGACGGGAGAGTGCTCAGCGGTCGATTTATCGCGTCTATACTAGCCACGATAAATCGTCCCCCGCTGGATCGATTGCTGCCCTCCAATCTGGAAGGTAAAGTAGATAAACCCCACCTTTCACTACAAAGCTGGAACTTTTAGGTGAAATTACAAAGAGATTTGCCAAGAATTCCAAGGACCATAGATTTCAGGCTCTTTCTCACATGTCCAGTTACTACCGCCTATCCACCTACCTTCACTGCCTGATCCCACACTGCCACAACCCTTTATGAAAAGTGTCTGCCCCAAATGTACTTTTGTCACTAATGCTGCATCAGAAGGCAAGAAGAAGAAACATTATACCAGGGAGCATGGCAGCAGGAGACATGATGGCTGGAAGCATGACAATAGGAGAGAGACATGGAGGATTTGTTTGTGATGCCCTACTACAATTCTACCTGATTCCATCTCTTTCTGCCAATCCCGCTGCTGTCGTTCTTACTGCCATACTTCTTAATGCTGTGCCTCCTATGGCAGCATTCTCCTGTCATGCCTCCTGCCACCATTCTGCATACTGCCATACCTCTGCACATGACAGATAATGGCATAGAGAGTACATTTATAAAGTTTGCAGATGACACCAAGCTGGGAGGGGTTGCAAGTGTTTTGGAGGCTAGGATTAAAATTCAAAATGATCTGGACAAACTGGAGAAATGATCTGAAGTAAATAGGATGAAATTCAATAAGGACAAATGCAAAGTACTCCACTTAGGAAGGAACAATCAGTTGCACACATACAAAATGGGAAATGACTGCCTAGGAAGGAGTACGGCGGAAAGGGATTTGGGGATCATAGTGAATTACAAGCTAAATATAAGTCAACAGTGTAACACTGTTGCAAAAAAAGCAAAAATCATTCTGGGATGTATTAGCAGGAGTGTTATAAGCAAGACATGAGAAGTAATTCTTCCACTCTACTCCAGGCCTCAACTGGAGTATTGTGTCCAGTTCTGGGTGCTACATTTCAGGAAAGATGTGAACAAATTGGAGAAAGTCCAGAGGACAGCAACAAAAATAATTAAAGATCTAGAAAACATGACCTGTGAGGGAAGATTGAAAAAATTGGGTTAGTTTAGTCTGGAGAAGAGAAAACTGAGAGGGGACCTGGTAACAGTTTTCAAGTACATAAAAGGTTGTTACAAGGAGAATAGGCCCAGAAACAATGGGCTTAAATTGCAGCAAGGGAGGTTTTTTGGCCTGCTAAACTCAGGGTTGTGAGTTCAATCCTTGAGGGGCCATTTAGGGATTTGGGGATTTAGTTGGGGACTGGTCCTGCTTTGAGCAGGGGGTTGGACTAGGTCCCTTCCAACCCTGATATTCTATGATTCTATGAAAACATTGGGAAAAAACTTCCTGTCACGGTAATTAAGCACAGGAACAAACTGCCTAGGAAGGTTGTGGAATCTCCATTACTGGAGGTTTTTAAGAACAGGTTAGACAAACACATGTCAGGAATGGTCTAGTTATTACTTAGTCCTGCCTTGAGTGCAGGTGACTGGACTAGATCACCTATTGAGGTCTCTTCCAGTCCCACACTTCTATGATTCTATGATTTCTTGCTGCCACACCTCCTGTTACCATATCTCTCTTTTACTGTCCTGTGCTGTTGAGAAATCTGTAAGCTTGTGAACAGTATCTACTGGACTCAGCTGGCATTAAGGAAGCATCAGGTGAGGTTCCATAGTTAAGATTGAGATGAATTTTGCAATTAAAGCAATTCTCCCCAAATTTACAACAATTACTCTTTGGGAACAGAGTGAGTTTTCTGAGAATTTACAAGTAAATCCATTAGTTATTTTACAAGTTAGAGTTAATTAACAATGAGCTCTTTGAGAAATTTAGCACCCTCTGTTCAACCTTTTCTCTGTCCCAAATTTCAGAGTAGCAGCCGTGTTAGTCTGTATCCGCAAAAAGAACAGGAGTACTTGTGGCACCTTAGAGATTAACAAATTTATTTGAGCATAAGCTTTCGTGGGCTACAGCCCACTTCATCGGACGCATAGAAAGGAACATATAGTGAGGAGATATATATACATACAGAGAACATGAAAAGGTGGGAGTTGCCCAACCAACTCTAAGAGGCTAATTAATTAAGATGAACTGTTGTCAGCAGGAGAAAGAAAACTTCTCCTGCTGACAACAGTTCATCTTAATTAATTAGCATCTTAGAATTGGTTGGGCAACTCCCTTTTCATTTTCTCTGTATGTATATATATCTCCTCACTATATGTTCCTTTCTATGCATCCGATGAAGTGGGCTGTAGCCCACGAAAGCTTATGCTCAAATAAATTTGTTAGTCTCTAATATGCCACAAGTACTCCTGTTCTTTCTGCCCCAAATGATATCAGTAACCTAATTACAGATATTCAGATTCCCCATACAGTTAACATTCAGTGAGATCTTGTGATTAGACTACTTTTGAAGAAATATTGTTATCAGCTGGATGGAACCTTGTTATGGGTTGAGTTAAAATCCCCACCTAACATAAAAGGAGTGTGT